TTATTCTACTTCCACCACATAAACAGCAAGGTTCAATAGTTGAGGACAAATAACGCAACGGGTGATGTCTTTCTCTAAGAACCTTAGGGCATATTTGGTGAGCGTAGATATGGGTTCCAACCCTCCCAAATGGGGGTGTGTTTTGATATCTCCAAAATATGGGAGATATCAATCTAGGGGTTTGGTATCTCCCTCAACCACGACCACCCCCACCCATGACTGTCGCTGATCCCCCTCCCCCCTATCGTCAGCCACTCACTGCCTATCATCAATAACCATCATTCCAAATCTCTCCAAACACTTTCATTTCAGATTTTAGAACCATATCGTTTCTTCTAGATCTCATAACTCATAAAATATCAACCCACAAAACTCACCAAACGGACCCTTAAAGAGTAAAGGTTTGATTGTTCATATAATGATTTTTATTATCAGTAGTCCTCATTTTATATTCCTTGCTTCCAAAAGAATTAAATAATTGGAAGCAATATTGTAATATGTGTCGGGTGGTCACGGTTTACCTAAAACAGTAAGAATATAAATCATGTGTTGCGGATATAAGAGTGCTACAATCCCTCAGAATTCCTCATGTTTTTATGCAACTATATCGAAGAGAATATTTCACGCTTTTGTTTGATAACTTGATGGAACAATTCCTTTGGCTGGAGCACACGATCCCACCCTCTATAACGAGAAACAGAAAGATGTATGTGACCCTTGTAAAAGTCCAGGTGCAATATAAATGAAAATAGATAGTCCCTTCATACCACTATTTACGGGACATGGGGTAATCGCAAAACAATTATGAAGAAATGAAGTTAATAATGATGTTAACAAGTAAGAATGGGTGAAATACAATTAGTACTACATGGATACAGATCTAACATGCCATGTACAAACATACGGTATGAGACAATTAGTACTACAGGATGCAGATCTAACATGCCATTAATCAGATTGCTTCTAATAACAGAACTTTCTTCACATAGACACACACAAACACACCTTCACTATTTTCATCTTCTTGGTTGGCCGTAGATGGAAAGGTTTATTGAGGCATGAATCTCCACATTTACATCCAGAGGAGCAGCAAGACAAGAGCATGCTGGTAGAATAAAGTAAAGGAATAACTAATCATAAACTGAAGGATAAAATTAATATAAAATTTAACCCTGTGCAACATGAAATCTGGAATTGAAGAATCAGATATGAATACACAGTAGAAAATAGATGTTCAAGAAAAGAACTCTTCCTCAATGCATACTCTTCTCAATACAACTTTTCAGGTTCAACTATTACAATTTGCAAATACAACTCATGCAAGAGTTCAAATTACTTTTTTCTTGATAACTTTTCTATATGGATGAAACATGAACTATGAATGTAAGCTATTTTCAAATGGATTTACATCATTGTTCACAGGAGAAATGAGCTCATGGATTAAAAGAAAAACACCTGCAAATGAGAGAGAGACTACAAAATAATTTTTGCAGTGAACTAAAGAAAAGAATGCAAGGACATAAGAGCATGTGCAATGGGAAGGGGAATTTGCCGCTGCGCCACAGGGAGGGGCAGGTGGCGATTGCAGCCAAAAAGCTGCATCCGGCGCGGGGGGGGAGCCGGGTGAGTGGCTCGAGCGACTGTAGCACCTCACCGCGCCGTAGGTAGGGATTTATATTTTATATTTATTTTTTATATTTTATATTTCATTGCATATTTTTTATTGTTATAATTCTTTTTTATTATTTTATTGTTAATTATCTATTGTTATTAATAGATAAATATTTTTTATGAAATTATTACAAGTTTTTAAGTAAATTTGATGAATACTGTAAATTAAATGGAGAGGCATTGTAAATTAAATGGAGAGGCAAAGAGAGAGAGAGAGAGAGAGAGAGAGAGAGGGCAATATCATTGTAGGTGTTTTGGCCGGGTGAAGAAAAAGAGGGGAATGATGATGTGGCAATGCAGAGGTTTGAGGAGGGAAATGGGAAGGGGCACCCGTTGTAAATGGCCTAACCACATATCTAGATATCTTAGAACACCTATCTCTCTCTAATAATCTTAATCCTACAAAGATATAATTCAAAAGTTTGTTATAGCATTCACGACTATACTACAACTGAAAGGAAGAGAACCCACTACAAAAACTTATTGAAAAATTTATTTAAAGTTCTAGTATTTTTGTCTTCCTTAGTATTTATTAAAATTTATAATATTATAGAAAAATAGAGAACCCACTTAAAAAAGTTAGGGCAATCCAAAAATGAAGAAAATTATAGAAAATTATTAAAATACTACCTCCATCCGACTATTTTTGTCTCATTTAACCTTTTTGTCCGTCCTACTTTTGTATCATACCATATTTAGTAAGAGTATTCGTTCTTACTTTTTCTTAGTTATTAGCATCAATATCAACCACACCATTTCATTTTTTCTTAATATGTGCACCACTACCCTATGTCCCAAAAGATCACTTATCAAATAGGGTGAAACTATGGTTAGCTATGATGTTAAGCGTGTTTGCAATGGTCAAAATAATGGAATTAAATGGCACCCATTCAACAATGTTAAATAGGACTAACATGCACTGCACTCATTGCAGAAGTTTAATAAGTAAAGTCTCACCTGCAAAGGCAATCTCTACCACACACAGCAGGAGATCCACCAACTGAGTTGCAAGAACAAAAAATGCCATCATCTTTCAAACGCTTCTTAATTCTCTTAGTATGGTATATATCTTAAATAGTTAATCAGTTCATGTATATACAAGTCAATGATGTAAATCATATTCAAAAAAACAAAATTATTTCTTGAATATAAGATACTCTAGATGATGTGATCTCGCAGACCACCCTTATAAACCAAGGAGAATCAACTAATTAATTGTAATTGACAATTTGTCCTATTATGTTGTGACTTGGTTAGAAGGATACTGCGTCTTATATTGACATATGACATAGGCTGCCACTTATTTAACCAGTTCGGAAGTTCAAAGTCAACAGGATCTCCAATTTCAGTTATCAATTTGTTGAATATGTGCCCAATTCCACAATTAACAGCACACTGGTAAGAAGAGTGAAAAGGAAGGCGTAAGATGCAAGGGAGATATTCATTACTAAGTATAAATAGTGCTGAGCAAAACAAGAATAGAAATATTTCAAAAATAAACAAAGACTGTCAACAGAACTTTTCATTTTGTAGGATATGGGAATACTGACCCAGGAACATTTATGGTATGAAAACACAAAATTTAAACCAAATAAAAACTAAATACAAGGGGTATGCTGTGTAAGCATCAAGTGTAGTCTACATAGTCAAATTCATGAGTTGACTCGTAGAGTCATGTGATTCCATGCAACGTCCAGGGATTTGTTATCTAAATCATGAATAAGATCATGAGCCTATGCAATGTATACCAGTCTATGTTCCAGACTGCAGGGGGGACTGCAGATTTACACTATATATGAGTAGATCTGTCCAACACATAATTCTTTTTTAAATTCCTAGAAGCCCAGATCATTCATTGCACAACTCAAAAGAATTGTTTACAAATGAGTATAACAGAAGATCTCTTTCCTCCTAAATTTCAATTAAAAAAAGTTTATGGTGGTTTCTTCAAAAAAAAAAGGGCTAACAGATTACTGACTTCTTCACTAATAAAGACATGGCCATAACACAACTAAATCTGCTATAAACTAGTCCATGTTGAACACAAAAGTGGTCTGTCACCAGAGCTACACATTTTAGACTTGTTCATGCAGTGCCATCCTAAACTAATAGGTATATAGTTAAAAATAGACAATCGCCCTAACACCATATACATTACATGTACAAACAAAATGTGAAGGATAAAAAATGATGAATTAATGCATCTATTAATAATATAAGTATTTACAATCAACGGAATAATGCTAGCCACAATTCAATAAACCCAAAATCTCAATAAGCCAGTGAAAATTATCATTTACGCTCTGGTCCATCAAAACACAAAAAGTCAAAAGCAGCTGCTATCATAAATCATACACAAGTCGGACCATTCAGAAAAACAGACATGAATATGTGTGTAAAATTTAAACTGAAACTAAAAATTTTTTACAGTGCAGACACAATAAGACTTGGACAGGAGTACGACACACCTCGCGTAGGACACTCCACTTGGAGTGAGGTTGACCGGATAAGAAGTCAAAGGCCTCGGACATGGCTGGAATACATCCAACTGGGATATGAACAGGCTCAGGTAGTGTTAGGAGAGCTAATGCGGTGAACAGAATGGAGTTTTTTTCAAGCAGGAGCGTAATACACAGGAGTAAGGACGTCAGTGTTTGGAAGAAGTAGAGAGAGGTGAATCTGACGATGGGCTACGGGAGTCTTTTTTCCCTGCAGAGTGGAGAGAGGAAGGGGACGAGAAAGAAACTGCCCGCTCAGAAGAAGCGGTTGTCAGATCTTTCCCGGACTAGGGTTTCGGTCAACAGTTATACTTTGAAAAACTAATTAGTACCTGTGGAATGCAAGGATAGAAAAATTATTACTTCCTCCGTTTCACTATATTTGTCCACTTTCATTTTTACACATCATCCAATATACTTCTTTAATCCATTTTATGTTGTAATTTGTATATTAAAAAATTATAAAAATTATATATTAATAATCTATATGTTAAGATAAATCAAACAAGATCACGCATGACTATATTTGGGCTTACACATTGAGAGAATTTGATGAGTCAAAGTGCTTAGATGAATAATTCCAAAAGTCAAAAGTGGACGAATATAGCGGGACGGAGGGAGTATAATTTAAATTATACTCCCTCCGTCCCGCTATATTCGTCCACTTTTGACTTTTGGAATTATTCATCTAAGCACTTTGACTCATCAAATTCTCTCAATGTGTAAGCCCAAATATAGTCATGTGTGATCTTGTTTGATTTGTCTTAACATATAGATTATTAATATATAATTTTTATAATTTTTTAATATACAAATTACAAGATAAAATGGATTAAAGAAGTGCATTGGATGGTGTGTAAAAATGAAAGTGGACAAATACAGGGGGACGGAGGGAGTAAATGTTTAAAAAAATAATGTATTACGATTATGTTTTTTTGAAGGGTGAATACAAATCTAATGTTTCAAAAATGAATTGTCTTTTCAAATGATTAGATGAACACTTCACTGATTTCAACCACAAAGCTCTAATATCCTTAGAATTTTTAATACCTGCCCACCGTGTCTCCCTAATTTTGCCATGAAAAATGAGTTCCATCAAATGAAAAGGACAACAGCTTGAGTTTTAGTAAGAATGAAACTGATTGTTATTTTGAAAATTTAAAAATAAACTCATATTTTAACTTTATGTAACAAAAAATTGATATCTATTGCAAACTGTTAGGTTTTACAAATTCTTAAACAAAATGAACCATAGTGAATATACAAACATCATACACCTATAAGTGAGATTATTCATGTATTTTATCGTTTGTAACTCTGGTTGGAATGCCCTTTTAGTTCTAGTTTAATGTCGTAACTCCTAACACCACCTGATACTATCAAAATCAATATATTGCATTTCAACGTTTGCTATCTCACTTATTTCATAGTGTTGTTATAAAGATAATCTTGATCATCATTGTCATTTGTTTCTTGACTACTATGCTTCATTCTTTTATTTCCTTAATTCAACAAACTCGAGACATACTGTGACCAAGTCCTACAAGTGACCTGTAGAAGCAGCAAAAATAAATCTCCTCATACACTCGGATTTGAGGGATTTATATCCAACAAATTAGAGACTAGACTTAATGCTAGCGTCATGCATCACATAAGTTTTTATTTGTTAACAATATCATTTTTATTGTGAGAAATCATCTTTATATTGATCATAATTGATTGGTATCAAAAATAGGATTTTAGAGCTTAAAATAACATTTTCAGAAATATTTTTGGGTCAGAACTTCGGGGGATCGATCCAGTACTCTAGATCGATCCATGCTAGAGAAGAAAACACCTAGGGGATCGATCCACCCCTTGGATCAATCCTCTCTGCATTTTTTATTTTACTATTCATCTACTTCTTCGTCGGGTCCAATTTTGAAAATACCATTTTTAGTCACCAAACTTCAATTAAACTATATAGAAATGTTCTCCAAGGTTCATATATCATTTTGGTATCATTAATTCGTAGTTTTAACATCAAATTCAAGGTTTATGATTCTTGATTTTTCAAACATGTCAAACACAAAACTTAACCAAACGACCGTTTATGAACGCAGAAACGATCTATACGGAATTCTAGTCACTAGATATATCTACGGGCTTACCTCGAGCTTAAAGGGAGGTTTTGGATATTTTCCGGCCAAACTTTTGGCGACAATTACTTCCAACTCCGGCGACTTCACACCAATTTGTCAACACCACTGCACTCCTCGCACTCTCAAGAACAAAATGATACTAAACTTATTAAGTTTTGGTGAAGAATGAAGAGATTGAGAGGGTTTATATAACAATGTCATTAAGGGAAGAAGCCAAGCAAATCCCTGTGCTTAGTGTCGTCGATCGGCGTAGTGGAGTAAGAGGCGCAGTCTAGAGATTTACACGATTTTTCCCTTCTTGGGACTAATTTTGGTCCTTGTCGGGGTACACTTTTTGGTCCAATTTTCTCCGAATTGAAATCTGTTTGCACCATTGCGATCAGACAGTTAAACTTTATCCAATAATAGAATTTTTATATTTATTTGTAATACTTTTTCTGACATCATATTTTTGAGTGTTTGACTTTGACAGAGTCAAAATTGATTTAGTTGACCTTTACTCAGAAAAGTTCTTACATTCCATTCATATTATTTATTCTCATGATTTATTTCAATAAATCATTTCAAAGTTTACATCATAAATCAAATTTAATATTTATTTTTAATTTAGGTCTGTACTCAGGTTCACAATCAAGATCACACAATAAATCAACATATTGGATCTATCTCTATGAGATTTATCCAGATTGTGATATTGGATATGAAAACATATTTTTATTTCAGCCCAAAGCCCAACAACAATTTATTTTAATCAAAACAAATTTGATTAATTTAATAATTATTCATTATTAATTCTAAGGTATGTTTTGGGGTGTTACATGACCAATAATATCTCTTTAAATATATTATCAAAAAATATAAAAAATAATAAACATTTAAAAAAAATTCAATATCAATAATTTGGTATAATTTTTATTTTGTTATTTATTGTACGGAGTATATTTTTATATATAGTTAGCCAAACATTTAACATACAAAGTGAAACTGACACTTAAATATGAATGGAGTGAGTATCTGATATTAACTAAAATTATAATAATAGACTTTTAACTATTAATATTCCACCTATTATTATTAACACTCCTCGTTTTATTACAAGTATTATTGTTATTATCCACTCTATATTTTCATCCCATTGACTTTTTTTAATATTCTATAGAATTTAAAAAATTATATAAAAATTTAACTAAATTAATAATAATATTATTATTACGCTACCTATTATTTTTAACAGTCCATTTTTTGTTAATAGTGTTCCACTGTTTATCCTGTTTTTAAAGTAGTAGTAATAATAATAAAAATAATAATAATAATGATAATAATAATAATATCATTTTAATAATTCATACCCACTACATATTTTCGTCCTATTAATGCTTTTTTATTTTTTCTTTAATTTTTTTAAAAAATTGGTTTATGTATTAATGTTGGAAAAAAATACAGTAACATTTAGTTTATAATCTCAAAATCAAATTTCATCTTTTTCTTATATGCATAATAAAGAATATAACGGAGTATAATATAAGTTACCCTTTATATATTACTATCATGGTACACCAAATTTTACCATTTATGTATTATTTATTTATGTTAAGGAAATTAGAAATATTATTTTGACTTTAAAAGCCACGGGGCAAAATAAATTGTTCCATCTAAACTAAAAATAATTCTTCCCTCCAAATACTCCCAAACTTTGTTATGATTTAGCAATTTTTTCCATTATCGCACGGGTATTCTATATTTATGTCAATTAGTTTTCTTTATTTCCATTTCCCTTTGGACTTATACTCTATAATTTTTTATTCGTTTATCACATTTTTCATGCACTTGAAAGATATGTTTTATATAATTTTATTATTTTTAAACAACATATTAAAATAAAACCATTCATATTATACTTATATTGAAACATAATATTTTTTCATGAGTAACTCTATAATAGACCTAAGGTCCGTATTGACCTTCTCACGTATTTTTTAATTTTAAAATGCTTATGTCAACATTTGAAAATATTTATTTAGCATACATGAAAATCCACCACGAATCATAGATGCAAGTAATAATTTTCCTTTTTCGTTCATACATCGAGGTCAAAATTATACAAACATTGATCAGGAAAAATCAAATAGAAAAATCCTTTATATATAAATTTGAGACTCCAATGCATAAGAACATGGCATGTGGCATAATATGAAATATACATGTGGTATTGTGGCATAATATGGAGTATACATGTGGCATATTATGTGGTACTTGATTTCTAAGCTAGACTCTATTAAATAATATATGACATGGGATTAAACTATTCCTTTTCATCAAAAATAAAATTATTAAAAATAAAAAAATTCAGTAAATCTTTTATTTTAAATTATTAAGAATAAAGTTATTCAATAAATCCATTATAGCATTAAAAGATGAAACTTTTATTTTTAGAAAGTTAACTTGTGCATAACTTATGTGGTTTTTTACACTTAATATGTCACCTAATTTAACACATAAAAGTTGAAAAATATTTTGGTATGAAATATTTGAATAAATTTAATTACGAAATAGTGATATTCATTTTTATTATAATATTCTTTCGTAATTCATTATTTTTTATTTCCCCCCTCATAACGAAATTTTTAATTAATTAATACGCTACTCTCTTCACCTCTAAATAAATTCCATATTAATATTTGTGTATGACAAGTTAACATGAAGTTAATTTTTAATATATTCCTTTCAATGTTGATATAAAAGAAAGGGTTTGGTCGCTACCTATCTTGAAAAATAAAAATTTTAGGACTACTCATATTCTAAATGACAAGAATATGTTCAAAAATACAATTTCCAAATTAAATTTATTAAAAAATATATGTGCATTTAAAAGTGTGTGTGTATCAATGCATAAAAAAAGCATGTGTTAAAAGTTAAAGAAAGATTATTTTTTCCATTTGTAACTTTTTTCCCCTTTTAATGTATTACCTTTTAGCATGGATACATTAAGCATTTACATACTTTTTTTTTTAATGTTTTTCCCCATTAATAATCAACTTTAACTAATAATATAAATCAATTTTAAAATATACAAACCGATGTAAATATTGTTTAAAAAAATTGAAACCAAAATAACATTACCCATTAATTTAATTAGAATTTTGAAACAAAAAAAAAATTAACCATATAATTTTGGTTAGAGAGTAAAAAATTAGAGATCTTTTTCAGAGAATATCCGACAATATTGGAGAATATGATTTTTTGAAAGTTAAATCTTATATTTTTAATAAAACATTAAATATAGTAATTTACAACATTACTTGCCCTCTTTTTTTTAAAAAAACAAATATCCCTAAATAGAAGTTTAGAAGTATGAAAATAAAAAAATAGAAGTCCTAAGTCTTTTAAGACCAAAATAGGAGTATAATGAGAGTGTGGTGTAAGAGTATGCGTTAGAACTGTGGTGGAAAAGTGATGATGGTGTAATAATATATCAATGCGATTATTCAATCATCGGCGATATGCTGCGTCACTCTGATGGCCTACGACGACGAATAACAGTGTGGCGGTAATAGTGTGGTAGTTACAATGTGGTAATGTGGTGAGTGTGGCAATGTAACAATGATAGTGTAAACTCATATTTTGGTCATGAAAGACTAAGGATTCCAATTTTGGTATTTTCATAGTTTTTTACTCCTATCCAAGGAGTTCTCCCTTTTTTAAATCTAAGTCTTATAAATTTAATAAAACATTAAATATAGTAACTTGCAATATAACTAGCTTCTTTTTTGAATTTGTTACTTAAATTTCTCAATTTTATAGTCACATTAATGGAAATAATTGATACCCTGAAATCAAATTACAAAATGTTCACATACAATTCAAAGAATGTGTCATTGCATCCACCACCCTCACTCAAGTTTAAATACATAAGTGTTCAAAGAGCATCCAACCTTTCTATAACAATTAGAAACATGGAAAATTAACCTGACGAGAGATGGAAAAATCGACTAGAGATGCAAGAGAAAAGATAAGAGAAATACTTCAAAAAAAGGACATAGAAAAGGAGCATATTTTTATGATTATTATTTTATTTTAACAATTCAACATACATATGTAAAAATCATAAACATCGTTTGTATGTTTCCTATAAATCATGGGTAATTAAACTGTAAACTTGTTGCTTTAGATTTTTCATGCATCCATCTTTTTTATATAGTATCCTAATTAGTGCATATGTGTTTAGAAATTTTGTAACAACTAAATCAAGATTATGTGTTGTGGTGGCTATATATAATTTCTCCATGGTTCTCGAGGCAACAAAGACCATCGATAGATCGCATGCAATACGTGTCAATATGAACAGGAGAATATATTATAGTACTTGAAAATACATTTAATAGTCCAACGGAGATGTCTAAGCTATGAGAGCTTCAAGACAGTTAGCAACAATGTTAGGTTGTATAAAACTCATTCGGGAGATGTCGAAGCATTAATGTTATTAACTAATGATAAAAAATTTATTGAAGTTATAAAAGAGACTACGGAGCTAGGGTCTCAGAATTAGTTAAGAAAGCTGTTAGTCACATTATCAGTGACAAATACCATGAGTCATTCTCAAGTTGTTTTAGAAAAAATTACGGGATCTCTTGGTTTATGAGGATTTTATTTCACCGAAGAAGAATATTGCATAATCAAGCTATTTCTATAAAAAAGGTAGTTTTTATATTATTTATGTAAAGGTCAATATGAAATGCATGGTACGTATACAAAACTCTATAATTGAGATGTCTACTGAAATAATTTAGTCACATTTAACTATTTTTTGTAAAACTTGCTATTTTCCCAGAAGATCTAAAGAGTTTGTGTTTGATTGAGGTTGAAAAGTTACTTAATTCAAGTAGAAAATCCTTAAAAAGAGTGTATAGTAGTGTTATGCTATCACGAGATGACAACCCTCTTATTAGATTTCAAAATAATTTCTTGGTAGAGGAATTGGATTTTGACAAAGAAAAGTTATCATCTGATCTTAAATAATACTCCGTATATATCTACAATCAAAGAAAACCAAAGGAAGATATACGACGATGAACGCTTTATATTTTACTATGACTATGAACAAAAGTCATTTGTCATTTGTAGGATTATTTAAAACCAAGTTGAAGTTCACTAATGCTCAACTTTATGCTGCTATTTCAAGAGTGAAAATCAAAAGAGAATTAAAAATATTAGTTCTAAATGATAATGAAAATCTTTGCAACCACACAGAAAATGTTGTATTCTCGAAGGCTTCAAAAAAATATAGATTCAAAAAAGACTTTGAAGTGCTTATTTTTGAATTTATATACAAGCACTTTCATTAAAAAATACTACCTTCGTCCCTGAGTATTTGTCAAGTTTTAACTTTTTCAGTCAAATATTTTTAACATTTGACCTATAATTAAATAAAATATATATTGTATTTTAATTAAATAAAATAATATTTTGAATATATTTGATATAATACATCTAATAAAATTCTTTTTGTATCAATATCTAATATCATTTTTATTTAATTTGAAGTCAAAGTTTACCAATTTTGATCAAAAAAATTCAAAAGTGGACAAATACTCAGGGACGGAAGGAGTATTAAATGCTAAATTATTTGTTTTACTTTAATTTTAATAACTACAGTGTTAAAGAATGCATTACATATATTTTCATAAATTCATTAAAAATATTACATTGGAGATAATTCAAAGAATCAACAAAAATTTCGTTTGACCCCGTGCATGGCACGGGTTAAGATAGTTAATCATACGTTGAACTAAACTAAAATGAAAATAAATTCAAAAAACATATACACTCTTACTTGTAAGAATAATAAGATTTGAGCATGAAATGTGAAGAGTCTCCATTATAAATTGATTTCCAATTAAGGAGAATAAAATACTCCGTCTATGGCAATAGGCATATTTTTAGTATTACGATGAAAAAAAAGCTTCAATTTTGTAAACACAGTAATTGAGATACTTAATGATAGCACATTAATGACACTTCATTAGGTGAGTACTTAATTAGCCGTTGAACATATATGATATATCAACTTCCGATAATAAAATACATAAATATATTACTATAAAATACATACTTGCTATATATAATCTAAAGTCAATGAGCAAGAAAATGGAGTCAACTATTCCCCTCTTTTTAAATAAAGTATTGATTGATATTGATATTGATATTGATGTCAAATTTTAGCACTAAGATTATATAGAAGAGTGATAAACAATACTTCTCTATCCGTATTCATTCATTCAGTATTCTTTTAATTCATCCCACAACATTTATCCACTTTCCTCTTGCAGTAAAAAAATTTAAAGACATTTCCATCTTTACTCTTTAGACTTCAATCATTTTACACCCCCAGCCTACATTCGCCCCCCTTTCTGGATCTCTCTTTGGATATGGAGGTGACATTGAAGCTTGAAAGATGCACCTTATATCCAACTTAACAGTAGTTCGGACTCTTGAGACATCGATTGAACTTGAGGAGCGACAGAATCCACGGATTCAACCCACTACCTTGCTTAAGACAAGAAAGATAGAAAATCAAGTTCAATTGAGCTTTACTATGAGGGACAAACATTACACATGGCATATGAATGACGGACTTCGATCTTATTTAATCTGATCGAATGTTGGTAGCAGAGTGCATAATGAGGGTGTTGAAACTGAACCAGCTGAACTCCGGCGGAAAGCGTATAAGATCCTGAATCAGCTGTCCATGCCCCCTCAACATTGTCGTCTTTCTTCTTTTCAATTTAAAGGTAATAGAGTAATTTCTCTTTTTTTTATTCCCTTGGTTTGTGTGCTCAAATGAAAGTAGACAAAAATTCCGGGACAAAGGGAGAATGAATCATTAAATGTTTTTCTTAAAATGAATGTTAATTTTATTTTAGGACGAACCAAAAAGGAAACTTATAAATTAATGTTGAGACAAATGGTGCATAATTAATTATTAAATTTGAAACAAGATACACAAATGCAAATATAAAATGTATGCTCTCAAAATTTTAATTCATGTATTAAAGTTGTAAACTAATCAACTACTAACAATAAAAAAGAGTAAAGATGCCTACAATATAACTAGAGTTGGGACTAGTTCTAGAAATTTGGTAAAACAGCTCCTTTACAAACAATTGAAAAAAGCAAAAACCCTTAACAAGTAACCACTAAGAACAGGTTCCGAAACAGAGGGTATTATGAGCTGGAGACACTCAAAAGTATTATTAGCGGACTGGCATGTCATTTTACTACATGATACTTTCCTATGAAGCATCAGGTTCAGCTCAGTGAACCTCGATAAGTTCATAGAAAAACAAGACTCACAAGATATTATGATTGCCTCATACGTAGAGATAAAGGAGGTTGCAAATGAAAGCATTATTCAAGGTCTTCAAGGGAGTAACGAGAAAGTTGTAAAAAGAACACTGACCTCATTACCTATTTCTTCGTTTTATCATAAACCTCAATAAACCTCTTTGGGATGCCATAATGTTCTACCAAATGTCTAGCAACATCATCAATGACACCGCCTTGTACCAAAACCTCAAATCCCTTTTTACCTAAATGTAGTAAGGAAGAGAATTATGATATAATAAAAATTTTGCAAGTGAGAGTCCACAACCCAATCAATAAGACTTTTTTTCATCTATCTTATGAACAACCACATTTATTTACATGCAAAAATGACCCTAATATATGACCGTGTGTGAGCGTCACACACTTAGCGCTTGCTCTAAGTTAAATAATTTTTCAAAATAAAAAAAGGATGACAAATTTGATATATTATGAATAAAAACAGCAAGAATAAAAGAATAATTAATGACTTAAATGTAATTTGACTTTATTAGTACTCCCTCTGTCTTGAATTGAGGTTCCACACTCTACTGAGTACAATTATTAATAAAGGTGAAAATGTGTGGTTGGATTATTTGCAAATGAGGAAGAAATTGTCAACCACACAATGCCTTTCCTCGAAAGGATAGAACCTTTTTCGGACAAACAAAACACAGAGTGTGGAACCTTTTAAGGGGAAGCAAAAATGGATAATGGTTACTTTTCACATAATTAGGAAGGTACAATACGAATGATGCACGAACATCACTACATCAGAAATCAAAAGAACTACTCCCTCTATCCCCATTTAAATTGCATGTTTCGGTTAACGATGTTTGACTGAAGTTATTTTCAAATTATTTTATATGAAAAACGGTATATAACTAAAAAAATAAAAATTACATATTTGAAAGCTTCATCAAAAGATCTTCAAAACTAGTGGTGACATGACTATATTATTTTACCAAATGACTAACAAAAATAGGGAAAGAAAGTGAATGAAGTTTGACCATGAGAATAGTAAACGAGCAATTTAATATGGGAGAGAGGGAGTAAAATTTTGGAGTTAGTTTTTTTTCATCATCTTTTGATTTTTGAGGGAATTATTTTATACTATACACAGATCACCAATGACTATAAACCTAACAAGTCTAAGACTCTAAGGGGGGGGGGTGTGGAGGGTATGTATGCAATTTTACCCCATAAGTTGCACTAGGATGGTTGCGGGTGCATATACGGGAACGCGGACAGGAAAAAAACATTTTTTAAAAAAATTAGGATGCGGGTACGGAAATGATACGGTGACAAATAATAATAATAATAATAATAATAATAATAATAGTAATAACAACAACAACAACAACAACAACAATAATAATAATAATAATAATAATAATAATAATAATAATAAATGATAAATAAAACAATAATGAACAACAAATACAGAGTGCATTTTTTGCATTGCTTATTTATTAGTACTTATGAAAATCAACACAAAATAACAAAGAACAATAAAAAATAAAATGACTATGTACTCGCAACTCATTAACCAAAAGCAAAATGAGTTGCAAATTGAGTAGGCTGAATTTATTTAAAAAAAATCAAATTAACCTTTTTAGAAGTCAAGCAAAAGTCGTAGATCTGAAGTACAACCCTAATTTCTATCGCCCACCGCCTCGCCCTAGTGCTCGCGCAACAGAAAAATTAATTGGGTCGTTGGGTCACCCGATCAAAGCGCTAATCTAAACTCAGTACCCCCGCTACATATCGTTTCCGTCTCTCCAGAAGTCTCTGACGAATCCTATCCATACAAGATGTTTTTGGTTCGTCTCCCGCTGCCCCCAGCGCCATTCCCTTCCCCGTGACGCTCCTAGGATGTCAAACAGCACCAAACCTGTAAACTCGTGCAACCTAGTTACCCCTTTAAAAAAACAGAGAAACACCAAACCTCCCTCTTCTCGATCAAATGCTCGGCGAGCGAAAGTGGGGGACTAGGATGGGCATGAGGGTTAAGCAGACCATGAGAACAAGGAATACAAGAACATCAGTGGAAAATGGGGAAATTTTGGCTTAAAGGAGACTTCGATCCCCTCGTCTTCTCCTTTTTTAAAGATAAAGAAAGCATGATCGGCTTGGGTCACTTCTAACAAATGTCACTTTGTTTCATCAGAGAAGTAGGGGACTCTTGACGGATACCTATCCGTTCCAAGAAATAAGACCCCGAAGATCAGAGACGAGGGCCTGTCAAGATTGGAGGCAATCGGCTAAGCAAAGCTACGGATGGCCGAGCGCCAGTTGTTTCTTTAGTCTCAGTAATTAGCGGGTGACCAGGCCTGTCCAAAATGGTATATATAAATACCACCCCTCCGGCGTTGTGAAGGAGGGATCGAGAATTCAACTCTGTCATCAACACACAATCATTCTCATTTTACTTTATCTCTCTAGATTCCTGACGAAGCTGCGGTGACATCTCACCCCCGGGTCTCCATGATCTGACAAAGTGTAAGGTATCAGGGTATGGTTGGAGATAGGATTGCTCAGCTTTAGGTCCGGATAAAAAAAAGACTGCAGACCCAACCCCAACAAACTACCTTTAGGGTTGGGTCGGTCTTAAGTCCATCAATTTTTAACATCTAGTTTTTGGTCTGGTCCAAACTCAAATGAACGATTTCAATTTGGATCAAACAAACCAACAAGGCTATCGATAGACATAGTTGATACAGTCTATGGAGTATTTTATTTTTATTATACAAATGACAAAATTTTTGTATCATTGCCGCTTCTATCCGCATAGAGTTTCTTTGTCTCTTTTGTAGCTATCCATCTGCGACTTCAACTCCTCAAGAGTCAAGCCTCTCCTCTCCATCCCCAACTCTCTATCACTCGCAAGTTGCACATCTCCATCTCAAAGTACTTCGCCTCAGGCCCTCAATCGTCCTCAATCCTCAACATTCGTATAAGTGTTCCAGTATGTAAATAAGAACTCATTCTCACTATCACACGCTATCTCATTCTCTCGAGTATCGACCTCCAATTGAAGATCTACGAATTGGTAACTGGATTTCACCCAAAAAAAATATCGGAGTTTGAAATTTAATTTCATTCGGAAATAGTTGGTAATTGAAAATGTTGAATACTTAGTAGTTAGTAGGCTTTGGATGCATAGATTAGTTTGTAACTTTCTGAAAATATTGAACACTAATTACTTGATTAGGATTATATATTTTTATGCAATCTAATAAAATAATAAACTTTATTATTAATTGAGAATAGCAATTAAAATATACTCCGTATTAGAGATTGTTATATTTTCTTAATTCTGTTTTAAAAGGTTTATAGTTTCATTCTGATATTTTATTATCCATATGCATGTCTAGCTTTTTGTGTATGTTATTATAATGTGTGTTATTGTAATGTGTGTTCTAGTGGATATAATTCTGGTTAATGTTTATCAGTCAAAAACTATTTATATGGATACACCTTTTTGCATCGTCCACTGAACACCTTCATACTTATGCTAGATGGCGAAAAATTATGATCTTTCACACTCCTACCGGTAGTAGGTCACACTTGTTCTGCATGTTATATTCTGTAAGTTAAGATAAAGTTTAAGAATTCAATCTGATGCTAATAGTTTTCTCCATAGTATGCATGTTTAGTATAGCATGTTCTATAGGTTATTAATTTTCATTTGAGAATACTCCACAGCACTTAAGAAAAATACTTAAAGTCTTAAACATTGTCCACATTGTTATTGTTTCATGCTATGATTGTGTTTTGCGTTCCAAAACAGGTGTTTCCGGCTTTGTTACTCTATTTACTCTCTACATTTCCAATGGGATGGAAGTTTATACTCTTAAAAGTTTAAACTTGTAAACTCAGCTCCAAGGGTTGAGTAAGTATGTTTAGTTTATCATGCTCTATGCACTATTAACATTTTATAAGCTTTATATAAACTCTATGTAACCTTTAATTGATGTAAACAACTTAAACGATGTAAACTTAAATATTTCTTCTCTTTTAGCACCCTTTTCATCCCTTTTGTAGACTATTATGACTAGGCAAATTTTCTTTTAACTTGATGTAAATTAAATGTTGTTGCATCTGCTTTTTTATTTGTGCCCACAGTATGAAGTGATGTCTAGATAAGGTGCAAATAGTGGAAACTGATAAACCAAATGTGGTTCATGAAGAGATGGAGCAAAATAAAAATACTTGTCTGTAGTCTATTTGCAACATCACATATTCAACACCCCCAACAAAAAGCCAAGGCTTAGGTGTTGATATAATGTAACAGAAACCTATGAGTGGTTTCTAGACAATCAGAACCAGGTACGGGTTGAATGTGTAGACTAAGACTAACTTTTCAATGCTAATTCGGCTCGTAATGGGACCAAAAATCTAAATACTCATTCCACTTCTTGTGCAAAAGAACCCACTCAGCAAAAAGCAAAGGTAAGAACACAACTAATCACTTAGAACCTGTTGAAGGTGAAGAAGAAAATTGCATCAAAAGTCAGATTGTCAATTTGGATACCTTAGAGAAGAAGCTTTAACTATTAGGATGTCGTTACATGAGTTGTGTTTTAGATTTGTGAAAAAGCTAGGATTTCGATACCTTGTGTCTCTTGTTGTCCCGTATTTTCATATTCCTTCTCATATCACTATTGCAAGAGAGTGTTTTAAGAATTACTTCAAAGAGAAGGAGAAATTAAAATCAATCTTTAGATTTTCTTATCAAAGAGTTTATGTCACTACAAACACATGGATATGTAATCAAAATGTTAAGTACGTGTTTCTTATTGCCCAGGCCACTTCATTGATGATGAATATGAGTTGGAAAAAGAATATTGAATTTTTGTCAGGTTTATAGCGACAAAAATTGGGGTATAAGAGAGAAATTGGGTTTATAGTTGCCTGCTTTATTGGACATTTGGACATGTTATTGGTAGTGCAATTAATGATTGTCTAGATTCTTGGGTATAAGTGAGAAATTGTTTACCATCACAGTTGATAATGTGAGTTCAACGAGTTCTCATGATGTGTCATGTACTTATCTAAAATGGTTGGCATCACAAAAGGGTTATTTTAGTGGTGGGCAGTACTAACACATAAGATGCATTGAAAAGGTTTGGTTAGCTCTAAAATTCGTTTAACAATTCTCTTGCTAGGAATGTTTTTGATTAACGAGTTGGTTGATAAAAGTAAAACTGATTGCAAGTGTCATTGTCTCTTGATGTTTTAACTACATGAAACTCGACCTATAAAATGCCGAACACTATGCTTAAATATAGAGTTGTCTATGGTAAATAATGTTTTCTAAGGAAGGCCCTTCCGTTGACGAGTAGGGTACGGTACTAAGACTGAAAGGCTTGTTGTATTTCTTAAGGATTTTTATGACTTAACTACTCGTGTATCAAAGGTTTGTGACTAGTAACTCCTTGTTCTTCCATATTGGTCATACTTGTTATTTGTTGAGCCAATGGTCATTGAAAGTTGATCAAATTTTAAATTTATGGAACAACAAATGAAAGAAAAATATGATAAGCATGGGGATATTAAAAAGATGAACGAGTTGATATACATGGGTATTGTTTTTGATCCAAGCCAGAAGTTTATTGGCATTCGACTAAGGCAGCGTTCTGTTCAACTTATTTTTTCTGCTTATTACTTATTCTTATTATAATCAGAAACATCTTTAATTATAACTGCAATCAGATCAGATTAAATCAGACCATATCTTTAAAAAATCAGATCAGATCAGGCCGTAATGCAACCTAACTTGACAAAGGGGAGAAAATAGCTATAAAAAGAGTTTGCTTATGAGTTGTTTAATGAGTATAGACTCATTTATGCTCCCTAAATTCCTCAAAATATGGAAGGTTATGTTTACATTCCAAATACTCCATCTTCAAGAGGAACTAAGGATGTTTACCTCATGAGCTCTTGAGCAAGTAAAAATGAAGATGAGAGGATGCGATAGAGGAAGTGTGTTTCTGAGAACAAAATTTGATAGGTATTTAGATGAGATAATGGGTGACGATGAAGAGAAAAGGATATTAGCATGGTGGAAACTTAATGAGCCAAGATTCCTTACTGTTGCACACATGCCTCGTGACATCTTGGTCATACAATTTAAACCGGTGCATCCGAATCTTTGTCTAGTGTAGGTGGACATCATTTGGATCCATTTCAAAGCTCTCTAACCCCTAAGAAAATGTACTACTCCCTCCGTCCCGGAAAATTATCTTCTGAGTTTGACTTGACACGATTTTTAATAAAGTGGAATGTTGGTGGTTGTAGTTTGTGGAGATGAAAGAGAATTGATATGGATCACATATTTATTTCCTTAAAAGGAAAAAGGAAGAAAATTTTGGGAGTTGGGACAACCCAAAAAGGAAAGAAGGAAAATAATTATGGGACGGAGCGAGTACATTTTATTATTTGTAGTTTCAACACATAAATTATTCACTTTCTAAGTCTTTGTTAATGTTATAAAAGATGGTTAAAGCTCTTATATGTGAGCAAGATTAGATTCATGGACAACTTCGCAAGCCAAAGCTTGATATGGAAGAGAGCATGGAAGAGTTAAAAATTAGAGAGAGGTATAATAACATAAATATTTGCTTTATGCATTTTATTTAAAGAGTTTAATATATAATTTATGTGGTGATGCTCTTCCCTTTTCAGATTTGAAGGATGTAAACTTAGAGGATGAATTGATATGATCTTTGTCAGAGATAATGAGTTGTTTAATGCACTACTCAAAACAATCTCTTTTGTTTCCATGTTACATTGGTACAAATAGATATTTGTCACTTTTAATATCGGTAGTTGCCGAGTTGGGACTTTGTACTGGACTTTGGGAGTTGGGACAAGACTTTGTTTCACTATTGGTTTTTATATTTATATACTACATTTGACTTTTTTCGAACAAAATTGACAAACTTTGACCACAAATTAAATAAAAATGGTATTAGATATTAATACAAGAATAATTTTATTAGATTTATTTAATGAAAAATTTTCCAAATATCATTTTATATAATTAATATATTTTATTTAATTATAGGAGAAAAGTTAAATATGGTTGACTGAAAAAAGTCAAAACAGGACAAATATTCAGGGACAGAGGTAGCAATGGCTATGAAAGTACTAGAGTTTGTATTTTGGACTATTTGGAATAGTGGACCTTTTTTTGAAATCTTGAAAGTTTTTATTGGAATTATGGCTATCTTCATAGATATTATCCATGTGGTGCATTTACGGTTTGTTGTTATTTTTGCATCATACTAGTTTCAAAACGTAAGCTATGATTGATGGATCAAAAATTCAAAAGTATTAACAAACATGCATTTAAAATCGGTCAAGTCAGTGAGTCAGTACAAAATAATTCCATGTAGTTTGGTATACCATCAATTACTTTTAGATTCGATCTTTGGTTCTAATTTTGGTTCACTTTGGTCTTTGGTCTGGTCTGTTCGGGCAGTCGTGGACCTATGAACATCTCTAGTTCAATATGGGAGAAATTTGACTAGGTGTAAAAATAGATTTTTGGCAAGCCGTATGAATTAAATTTAAACGAAGTGGGATAAGATTTCAGAAAAAGTTCACCTTTTTAAGAAATGGAGAGTTTAGTTTAGACGGCCAAGATTAAAATAAGTCAAAGGTTTAGTTTGAGATTAAGGGAGTATATCTTATACTTGTGTCTTAGTATTTTTGTGTATTATTTATAGAAATGCAATATTGGTTTCATATGTTTCGACTGTACAACAACAAACACAATATATTCCCACAATGTGTAGTGTCAGGGGAGGGTGTTTGTATGTAGACCTTTACCCCTACTCGAAAGTGGAGATGCCAGAACCAAGAGCCCCCCCCCTCCCCAGCTCAAGAATATGTTTCAACCGTTATTAAAGAAAAATTAATGGTTAAAGTTTGGCCACGATTTTTTGTGAAGACACAACACTTTAGGACCTCAGGGGGTTAAATGTTATTCCACTTTAAAACACTTCCTGAACACAATTAGGGCCTTGCATATGGCAGATTGGCAGCTCCTAATCACTTTTTATGCAGCCACTTGGCATTTCATTTAGCTCCTAGAGCGGCTTCTATGCTCATGAAAGCTGTTTTTATGCTTATTGTTTGAGACTAAATTTTTTTAAAGGCCAACGTGAAACAAGGGGCAGGCAGAAATTTAACACATAATTGCACTCAAAAAAAATAAGGGGCAATATGCACATGATTAGGCCACACAACACATGATTAGGCCATATTTTAACAATTTCAAATGCAGAATTCCAGATGCTTTAAGAAACAATAGAATGCAATAAGAAAGCTGGTGTAAAACAGAAATAATTATATGGAAAGCAAAAAGTGAAATTGAAATAGAAAATCTGGACAGCAAAAACCACACATCCCCTATCTTTCTGAGATGAGGAAATAGACAGAGAAGATGAAACATTTGCATATAATACCTGGAAGTTCTGTCATGGAGGTGCTACAAGCAAATTTCTTCTGCAACTCAGAAGCCAATACCTCAGCATCAACAAAAAACGACTCCAGCCCAGAAAGCTTGGTCACTTTCTTGTTGCCTTGCCTCCTTTCTGTCAAGATCTGAATAGGTTTCAAAGTACCTTTGCGAACAGCTGTATCATTTCCTCTTGTAATTCTATGATGGGGTTGCATCCGGTTAATAAAAGTTGCCCCTATATCTTTCTTATGAATTTCAGTTGGATAAGTGCATCCCCTTTTCATTGCTCCCTTAAAAAGGGCATCACATAAAATTGCATCAAGAATGACAAGAGATTTGTTTGTTGCTTTAACAAGTTTCTCTTTCTCCACATACTGGAAAACTATTTCAGAAGCTTCTGATGCAGTATATAGCTTATCGAGATTTACTCCTACAGCTGCAAAAATTGGATTTACATGAACACTAGGTTTATAAATTTCAGTTACATCCAGTAGTCTTGGTGACTGCTCTTCATTAGAAGCAGCACCCGCAGATTTCCCAGCCATTCGGGCCTTTTTCTCTGGCTTAAAGGATATATACTCCGGGTGGTTCCGGTTAATTGAAACCAGATTTACCTCTTTCTTATGTTTGTCTTCTTTCACTGAGATCTGTGCATGCCAAATAACTTATCATCAGTTACATATAAGAAATAGTTTGCTTTCAACAATAAAATCATAGAATATGAGTGTCAACTCGTAGGAATATTATAGCTTCAAGGCAGGGCAAAAAGGAAGATATAAGAGGAACACCAACAACAAACCCAGTAAAATCCCACAAAGTGGGGGTCTAGGGAGTGTAAGCGTACACAAACCTTATGCACCTAGAGAGTAGAGAGGTTGTTTCCAAAAGGCCCCATCTCAAAATAACAAAAGAACCCGGAAAAGAAAAAACAATAAGGGAGAACAGAAAAGGAAAAAAGAAAGAAAGGAGCACAAAAGAAGCAATCGCACGCCTAGATACAACAAACTGTTGCAGCAAGTCCTACAGAAGGGTAGACCACACCCCAAGACCTACCCTACAAGTTAAGGCCAAAACCTTGGTTAGCTTCTGAAGCAGTAAGTCATGTCTAGCCACCTCGTTCCACCTCTTGTTACAACTACCTTTACCCCTCCTAGCTACCCTACCTCCGGCCTCTCACACCTCCTCATGGCTCAATACTTCTCCTAAGCATGTCCCCAAACCACATCAGTCTAAAGAGGAAATATATGTTTACTTTTCATGGCAAATAAAACATATTATATTGAGCTATGGAGTAGAAAACAAGACTGCCTCACTACACGAACATAGTTGATGAAACTAAAGGTAATATTTGACAATGTTTTTGTTTTGGTTAAATAATGGACTATATCAATATGAAACATTCAACTTCCTCTGTTTCTTACTTTATAAAAAGTTTTGGGCAGTAAATGATGTTATATATTTTAGCGTAATTGGAATAACTATTTGACCAATGGTATCAGAATAATCATCAAAGAAGTTTGGTGAAGCGGAGCGCATGCTTCGTAGAATTTGTAATGATAAGTCCCGTTTTAACGGGGGTTCCAAGGGGGCAACGCCCCCGAGCAGGATTCAAGGGGCAGCAGCCCCTGCGGGGTCCAAGGGGCAGCAGCCCCTGGCTGGGGCAAAGTGTTGTATTAAAAATTCACTTGAATTTTTATTTTTGGATTTTGTATTTAACAAAATACCGATGGAGCGTGTAGCTTTATTTCGTGCAATTGGACACGGCCAATGGAGAAAGCCACGAACGGCAACTCTTCGTCCATTCCCCGCATCTATAAAATCTCTCACAACTTTGGTCATCAAACATAGGTTCAAAAAATTCATTACAATTTATACCTGTTCTTGATCAATAACTTGAGTTTTATCTGATTGATTTTGGAGTGAACGCCCAAATAATCAAGCTGATAGTGTTATCACGACTCTCAAATAAATCCGTGTTATCTACGATTTCCCCAACAAATGAAGCACTGCATCAAGGGTCTAGTGGAAATAACCTTTGCAGTAAGGTTGTGTACATCTTGATCAAAGAGTGTTGAGGTTATACTTGGGATTAATTATGCTAGAAACAAAAAAACCAAAGTAGTTACCACAAAGACGACGCTTACGAGTCTCCAAAACTTTGCAGTCAAACAAGGTAAAATATTCTAGCTGTAAATGGTCAGGTAGTACGAGTAACTGGCAGGCTCATCAAAAACATGGAAGTGTGCCATCTTAACTGTCACTCCTGATAGTTCATACTCTATCCAGCCAGCAATACAAAACAGTTAAGAAGGATGTATAGTTAAAGGTTTGGGCAGTCATACCCATCCTATAGAAGCTTTAGCTTGTAACCACTTAGATAGTTTCTTGTAAGAAGACTTCTTTATGTCTAATGATATGCCAGATGGCCTGCTTGGAAGAACATGGCTTGACCTGTACAACAGAATGCAATAAGAGACACCATCAAATGTGTCAAATGTAAGCTAGAGTTACAGACGTTCTCCCCAGCTAAAGCTGTATGAAGTAAAATGAAAAACATCGTCAACATTTTGAGCCGAAATATAGTTGTAAAATACTCCTTCCTTCCCTAAGTAAAAGTAACACCTTTTTTTCAGGTGTCCCAAAATAAACTCCACATTTCTTTAGTTTCCTATTGAGAAAAGAAATATGTGATATAGCCGAAATATAGTTGTAAAATACTCCTTCCTTCCCTAAGTAAAAGTAACACCTTTTCACTTTTCAACACTTCTCTTGAGATTCGTGAAGCCCAAATGTTTCTTTTGGGGGGCAGAGGAAGTATATAACTGATAGCTCTCATATATCTATATGTGATTTAATATGCACAGTATCATGCCATAAGCAATAAGACAGACTCGTCACCTCAATTTTGTTCTCAGGTACACATGGTATAGAGGTTGTAGTTTAACTAATAAAGATAGATGAAACAACACATCGATAAGCAGTCTCTAGAATAGGGTCTATTGGATCCAAAGCAAACCAGGCACTAATGTAATGTGGAACACATATATGTCAAAGGTTTCTTTGGCTAGTGGTTGAATGCTCCTAATGTGGCCCTTTCCTATTGAAAAGCTACTGATATATCCTCATTAGAAGCCTCACCTTGAAAACTTAACCCCAGGATCACCAACAATGTGGTACCTTCTTCGAGACAACTTCTGAATTTTGAGATATGACAGGTTCCTTACGAAATAAAGTTAAATATAAACACAATCCCCAACCAAGGTTTTAAAAGGCGAAAACAAGCCTTGAGGCAATTAGGCAAAATGCCTTGAGGCCTAAGCCCCGAGGTGGAACAAGGCGTAAGCCTCAGTTCAACTTGAAAATAAATAACATAATAAAAACTATTGGGTACAACAGAATGCACAATCCATAATGATGTAAAATAAGTCATAACCTCATACATAGGTTTTCGTTTAAGCAAAAAAAGGGGGGTAAATAAAAAGGCAATAAGATAATCCATATTCATGGTGTCGTTTTGAGACTACAATTTGAGTCTCCAAGTTTTAGACTACTCAAAACTCAGACTATCAGTGTCTAGAACATTAATATACAAAAAATAGTAATAATAAGTTTTAAGATACTTCAAAAATCACAACCAAGAGACTAAAAAAGCACCATATTTAAGAATAAATGACAAAAAATTCAGCTTTAAAAAAAATCTTAAATTGTAATCATTATAAAACATCACTGACTTGATATATTAATTATTAACATGACAAAAATAGTTCTTCAAAAAACATTACTGTCAAAATTAAACATTACAAATACAATACTTTTTTTATTAAACAAAATTCATAGAGCTTAACTATTAATTGTAGATGAAGAGAGATGCTTGAGAAAATAAACAAGACAGGAACTTTCTCTTTAAGTTAAAAAAGTAGAAGATGAAGTAATTAGAAAATAAAGTAATTGAAAAATGAAAAAACCTACCTTAGTTCTGCTGTTGGCTGCCGCTGGAGAGAAGAGGTGAGAGATGGCTACCAGTAAGAGAGAAAAATGGATCCTAGAGATGGAGAAACATCGACACAGAGGGTGTGAGATAGGGCGACAGAGAGTGCGAGACAGAGATGAGAGACCAGAGAAGGAGAAGCTGCGGAAGGTGAGGTTTAAGTCTAATTTATGCTCTTTGAATGGAATCTATAAAAAGATTTCAGTTTTTTTTAAAAAATAAATATGCACGACCCAAGTTTTTTGATGGCCCAATAAGTTTGTTAAAACTTAAAAAACTCTTGAAATTGGCATAGCACTGAGGCTACCGCCTCCCAAACGCCTTAACCGCCTTTCACCGCCCCGGATAAACAAAGCGTAGCCTCACAGATCCCACCTGGTGCGGACGCCTCTGAGGCTAGATTGGACCGCCTTACCGCCTCAAGGCAGATCGCCTTTGTCGCCTTTTAAACCCATGTCCCCAAAAAATTTTAAGTACTACATATGGGAAATGTTTATAAACGTAGCTTGACCAATACCATAACGTACTTCCAGGCATGGGAAGGTCCTTCTCCTTAACAGTTGCATGCAAGGCATGCAACAGGCATTTGTCTAGCAGTGCATCTATGTCTTCTACAGACATGGGATGTTGGACCTCTTTTAATTCTTCTGAGAGTTTCTCTATCACCTTCAGTTCAACCATATCCTCTATTAGTTCACTATCTTCATGTGCAACATCAGATTGAATTTTTGAAGCTTGATCACAACTCGAAGAAGTGGCAACATCCACAGAATCCTCTACTGCTCCTTCATTATCATTGGTGTTAACATTTTTCATGGGGTCTTCACCTTCATGTGATTCAGAGGCCTCATAAGTAGAAACCAAAGTAGGATCCTCAAAAACAACATCCTCTAAAAAGCCAGCATTTGGCACATAAGGATTTTCAGTTGCTTCCCTGAAAAAAGATATTACAAAAGGACCAAATTTGAAATCAATGCCAAATATTACTGGATACATTTATTTGATAACTTTTAAAAGAGAGTAAGAGACCTTACCAAAGTGTGTCCCGATAGTAATGGCATATTCTTAATGCTTTTCCACGCAAACCAGCTTTCAAAGCTTCAGTGCTGCACGT